TCTGTGAATCTGAGCCTACTTTTTTCCTTGCTTTTGTGTACTTAGAGCTATAAAATTTTAGAAGCAAACTCTGATTTTCTGTTTAGCTATCTTTGTTGCCCATGTACATTTGAGATTTGGGACATCTGACAGTTCTACTTGTTCAAAGTCAGAAGGTAAATAAGGTAAATAGGGGAAGAGGAGGGGCAGGCATTGATCTCTTCTCTGTGGTGACCAGTGACAGAACCTGAGGGAATGACCTGAACTTGCATCAGGGAAGGTTTAGATTGGGTATTAGAAAAAGGCTCTTCACCCAGATGGTGGTTGGGCACTGGAACAGGCTCCCCAGGGAAGTGATCACAGCACCAACCCTGACAGAGTTCAAGAAGTGTTTGGACAATACTTTCAGGCACACAGTGGCAAGCAGATGTCTTAAGATTTGTGCTTGACAGTTTAGCCTAAGCAGGATTACCTTAATCCTGTGCAGTTTTCTGTTGCTGTCCTGGTTGTTAAACACCTGATCTGGTTTCTGCCTCTTCAAAACCCAAAGATCTCCCCCAAGAGCAAGCGAGCTCTAGCCTTTTTGCTTTAAAGTATAGGCTAATTAGCTTTGTGGGAAACCTTGTTGATTCTGTTTTATGAAATTAAGGCCATCTTGGACAAAGTTGATCATTCAGGGTGCAGTGCCACCTCGCTGGTGTGGTTGGAGTGAGCAATAGTGGTGGCAAGTCCGTACGGCAAAGTTAGTCTTGTGCAATTGGAGTGACTTTTAAAAAATGCTGCAGTGAGGTCTCCTGTCTTCTTTTTCTGTTTTGTTTTGCCTTCTTGTTGCCCTTCTCCAGGCCAAGCCTGTTGTCCTAAAGCAACTAAGTTGTGTTGCAGAGTTGCCGGATGAAGCTGGTCAGGTCCATGCTGGGGTAGGAGGGTCTTTGCAGCATGACAGAGCAGTGCTTTCAGTGACCAAGTTTTTCTTTGCTTATTCAAGTATTAAGTAATAACTTACAGACTGGGAGAAAAGCTCCTTGAGAGCAGCCCTATGGAGAAAGACTTGGGAGTTCTGGTGCATGAAAAACTGGACAAGAGCCAAAAGTGTGAGGCGGCCAACTGCATACTGAGCTGCGTCAAGAAAGGTGATTCTCTCTGTGTTTGTCAGACCCCACCTTTGAGCTTTGAAGTTCTCAGCATAAGAAAGATGTGGACGTGTTAGAGAGGGTCCAGAGGAGGACCACAAAGATAATCAGAGTGCTGGAGCACCTTTCCTGTGAAGACAGGCTGAGAACTGAGTTGTTCAGCATGGAGAAGAGAAGGCTCAAGGGAGACCTCATTGCAGCCTTCCAGTACCTAAAGGGCACTTATGGAAGAGAGGGAAACTGACTTTTACATGGACAGACAGTGATAGGACAAGGGGGAACAGTTTTTTAGATTAGATGGTAGGAAGAGAGTGGTGAGGCACTGGAACAGGTTGCCCAGAGCAGTTGTGAATGCCCCATCCCTGGACATGCTCAAGGCCATGTTGGATGGGACCCTGAGCAACCTGATCTAGTGGGTAACATCCCTGCCCCTGGAGTGGGGGTGGAACCAGATGATTTTTAAGGTCCCTTCCAACCCAAGTCGTTCTATGATTCTGTGGTGTAGATAGTATTTGTAATTATTTCCTAGTGTTCACATCAAGACCAGAGTTTTTCTTCCTATTCAGAGCTGTATGTGCTGTGAAACATGACTACTGCAATGTTCCGCTCTATAGAGTGCCCTTATGCTTTAGACCAGTCTTCTTTTCCTCCTTCTTAAATACTGTTTTACTTTGTTCCTGGAGCAGGGTAGTCCCACACCACATCTTCCAGACAAAAGTTAATGCTTTAGGAGTTTCAGTAGCTGTTTGCTGCTGTGCTTGTTGGCTTCATGTTCCTCCTGTGTTGCTGAATTCCTCTGCTGAATCTGGCTGTCTCAAACTCTGCTGTGCTGAAACCAGCTCAATGACTTGAGTTGATCCATCCAGTTTAAAAAACAAGGGTTGTGCAGAACGCCCCCGTTCAAAGAGAGGTATTGAAGTGTATGAAATGTCAGCGGGATGCTTTTGTCATACTACTGTAGTGCAAGAGGTTGTTGAGAAACCTATTGAGGGTAAAAGCCATTAGAAGCATAGCAGGTGCATTTTTGTTCTTCATTGTTTATGCATTTGCAGCAAAACCTGTGCATGCCTCACTATTACTAACTTCAGTGAAACCAGTTTGAGCAGAAGGCATTGAACTGCTGTGGACAACTTTTAAAAGAATTAAAATACTTTTCACCCATTTTGTTGGGAGCATTCTAAATTTGAGCACAAAGTGGGGTTGTTTTCAGCTATTACAGCAAAATACTCTCCTTTCACCTCATGTTATTAGTAATTCAAGTAAAGAATCTGTGGAAATTTAAAATATTAGAACATTTTCATGGTGGAAATGTAATTGTTCCCTGATAGTAGTGCTGAATTCAGCATTTACCATGACACATGGGAGTTTGATAAAATGTACATGATGAAAAAAAGTCACAGGAGTTCTTCAAGAGATACTGCTTTTTTTTTTCCCTTTCCTTTTTTGAATTAGGTGATCCATATCAGCACTAAGAAAATTATGTGGAGTTATAAATATGTACAATGATTAAACTGAAGTCATATTCTGAACTAAAGCAATGGAGCTCTGGTCATATTGGAAATGGAAACATTTGATTATTAAGTCAATATTTAATATAATTGTGTACATGAACTTGCATCCTTTGATATTTCAACTTTTCTATCTAGCTTCCCTAGTTTGTCAGTCTCCATGAGCCTCTTTTCATACAATCCCAAATGTGTAAATCCACTTTTAGTTTTTTTTCCATTTGGAAATTGCTACAAACCTAATAGAATATGGGTACCAACTCCCAGTGTTTCTGAGATCCTGCAGACATCATATGTCTGTCATGTCTACTTTGAGATGTCTTTAGCCCTTTTTCCAACATCCTTTGAACTTGATGACAAAAGTCGTATATGTGTTCTCTTTGGTTTGTTTGTAATTTCAGGAGATGCTGGCTATTAAAAAAGTTAATGTTTCTTTTTTTCACGAGTTTCTGGAGTTGCAACAGCAACAAATCAAGTTTTTATTTGTCTGTATTATTAAAAAACAAAAATTCATGTAGGAAATAAAAATTTTAGCTGGCGAGACAAATTTTTATAAAAAGACTTTTCAAAAGAATATTATTTGCCATTCAGTAAAGCATGGGATACAACAGAATCCTTTAGAAATGTCTCTCTCATAAAATCAACATTTTGAAGAGAGGAAAATGTGAAACAGAAAACCAACCCAATAACGTCTACCCCTTCATTTTTTAAATTTTATTTTTAAAAGATTGTGTCATCATTACTTTCCAAGGAGAAGTTTTTTTCCAATGAAAAATTACTGTTGGAGAAAAGTTATTGGTTGGCTAAGTTTCAGAGTATAGAGAGTAAGGAGAATAGGTTGGTGAGAAAGATTGATACCTTTGTGGGCTGTTTTGTTGTTATTGTGTTCCCCAGGTCTTTGCAGTCAGACATCTTCAGCTAATAAATCCTTTTGCATTGCATTTTGTTACATGAGTTTAGCAGAATTCTACAACTTTTATTTTATATTTCAATATGACTCTCATTTTCTGTTGAAGTGAATCATTATTTACTGAGAGAATAAGCACTGGGCAGCCTGTGTAAGTACTGCAAAGTCGGTTTGCTCTGCTGTCACTCCAAATTGCCACAGGGTCTGCTGTTCCGCTACCTCTCCATCAGGGCAGTGACTGCTCATCTGCCTGACCTTTGTCTGAGCCTTGGCAGAGTGGTGGTGGGCTATCTGGGGGTCACACTGCTATAACTTATCTTTGCATCCTTTTAGGACTTTAGCTTATTGCCAATGGGTGGAAAATCTTCACGAGACGCAAAAGATGGTTTCTCTTTTTGGCCCCTTCAGCGACTTGCTGAAGTGGATCTTCTGCCACCTGACCAAAGGAATCGTGAAGCGGGAAATGTACGGCCATGGCATTGGCCGCTTCTCGGAGGAGGAGATGTACACGCTGATGGAGAAGGACATGCGGACTCTGGCAGGCCTCCTGGGTAAGGTACAGTGAGTGTGTGTGGTCTGTTCACAGCTCTGTCCACAGGATAAAACTGACCTCAAGTGCTTCCTGACGGCTTGATCACACACACAAATAATCTCATTTTGGCAGAAGGTAGAAGCTGCACTGCTGCTGTCATTCAGTGCCTTGCTCTGGCAGAGAAAGTGTATCTTTCCCCGCTGTTTGCTTCCAGATCGTGTGTCTAGAGGCATAAGAGACTTTCTTCTCTGACCACCAAGTATGTGTGTCTAGAGGAGCAAAAGATAGCCTGCAGTTTTGGAAGAGCATATTGCTATATGAATTTAGGAAAATGTATTGTTTAATTCTGCAAATGAAACCTCTTATTTATGATTTTTGGGGATGGGGTGTTTGTTTCATTTTTTTTTTCATGGGACTTGTGGCTGTTTGCTAAATCATTATGAGGCTGGCGTTTGAAAACACCTTTGCAGGTGTTATTTTGATGAGCTGAACTTTGTTGTATTTGGTTGGGTTAGTAGCTTTATTCAAAGCTCCTAGTAGGCAGTGGTTGTGTGTTGTCAAAATAGGTGAGTTTAGGCTTTTTGGTTATCATAATCCAATCCTATAACGTTATTTTTAAGGTGACATCACTTAGTTAGCATTGCATGAACCTCATTTCTGTTGTGTGGCTCAGGCTGCAATCTGCATTGGAGCTGTCTACACTGCGCTTCCTGCCTTCTGGTCTGCTGAGAGCTAAGCATATTGTGTGTCTGTGTAAAATTTAGATTTTGAGGAATTGGTTTGAGGCAGATTGCTGCTTCTCTTGAGCTTTTGTCTCTCTTGTGCAAGAATCAAAAGAGATGGTCCATGTCTGGCCGCTGTGTTTTCTCTTATGATTGCTTTAAAGAGGTGGCTGAGTGCAGAACAGGAGAGACTGTGCTCCAAAGGGAGGACATACTGCACATGCTCTAAAGAAATAAGTGTGGAGTGGATGAAGGGAGCAAGGTGAGGAAAGCCCAGCAGAAGGAAGAAACTGATTGCTCAGAAAGGGAAAGAAGAAATGTTTCTGAACTTCCAAGGTGTTCTGGAAAAGAAGGTGTTTGCAGTGGACCTAGATGAGGCTATGTAGAGTTTTCTCTAAGTTTGTTCTCTGAAACAAACCTGCCAAGTTGCTGGATTGGGAGCAAGGTGGAAAAAAGACACGTGATGCATGGGCACAATGGGCAGGGGGAAGATTTGTTGACTACTCTTTTTCTGACGGTGCTTTCTCATGCTACATTTTGTTTGTTAACAAAAGTGGTTATCTATTCTAGTGCCTCTTCAAAGAAAACCTGTTTCTTGGTGCTTAAGAGGTCCCTTTTCTGTTAGGGGGAGGAAGGGAGGGAGCAGCTCGCTTTAGAAGAGGAGGTCTGATCATATCTGCTGCAGAGCTGTGGCCAGCTCAAGGTACCCTCCTCAGTGGGACTACTGTTGCTGTGGTTTTGAGATTGGCGCTGTGTTGCTCCATGTTCATTACAAAGAGGAATGGGGTTGGGGCAGGAGCTGGAGCAAGTTCAGCCTGTTATGGGAGCTCAGCAAAGCCCCATGGTTCTGGCTAGACAACACTGACAGGCTGCAGGGAGCAGCAGTGGATGTGTCTGTGCTAAAGTCATCCCAGTCTGCCATGAGTAGACAGAGCCTTCAAGGGAAAACTAAAACATGTTCCCAAGTACCTGCAAAAGTTCTGATTTGCTTATTTGAAGTCTGCATCCTTCCATCTCTGGAGTCTATACTGACACTCCGATTTGTAAAATTTCGAGTTCAAAGAGATCATTTAACCGTCTAGACATATCTCTGTGAATCAGACTGCTTGATTGCTGTTTTGAGGCCTGTGCCTTTTTGCTGGCTAAGGATGGCTTTCTAAAAGCCATCTACTTTTAATTATGAGATTTCAGAAAGCAGAGGTGCTTTCTGTTAGTTACCACTTTTGTTAGTAATTGGTAGTAGATGTTAGTCACTATCAAAATCTGTTTAAAATCAGACTTGCTTCAAATGGGAGTTTGTCCAATTCCAGCCTGCAGGCAGATGCTTTTCCTAGTTCTTCCTTCCTTTCTGGGTGGCTCGGGTCATCTCCCTGTGAAGGTAAATGTTATAATCAGTCTCTTATTTTTGTTTTTGGTGGGAAAAAGCACTAGAAATCCTAAAGCACTTCTTCACTGTATCAGATTTTTAATTGTATTATACACATATCAGCAGAGATTTTGTTCTCCTTCCAGATTGTTGTTGAGAATGTTCCTGTGTACTTCAAAAAGTCTTGATGGGCGTTTGCTGTATTCCTGTTATTTTATTACATTACCAACTGAACATTGTACTTTTTTGTCATCTTCCCCTCTGAAATGGATGTCAGATTAGTTGGTGTGTGGTTACGTGAATCATTATATTTGCCTTTTTGCTTATGGGTGAGTTCATCTACTTTTCGATAATTGCCTTGATTTTTCACTAACATCAGTACGCTCATGTTTTCTCCAACCAGCTGTTTATGATTGGGTCTAGTAAATGTGGCCTCCAGGTGGTATCCTGGAATGGGTAGAGAAGGTGGGACGAAGACTTCCAGACTGACTAGAGACTGCCCTGTTTTGTGGGGGGAAGGAGAAGGTGGTCAGTCAGCTTATTGCCTGCACAATCTTTGTGAGATTCCCCTCCACATATATGTACCCAAGTGTTTTCCCAGAAGAGGAAATAGTTGGGATTTTGGCTGTTAGAGGGCAATCTTAAGAGCTTAAAAAGGATGCCTATCATGCAGAATAGCTGCACATACCAAACTGTAGCTGTCAGTTATCAGGCATATCAGATTAATGCTCCCCATTTTTTAACAGGGACCATTCACATGGGAACAAGAATAACTTTTAAATTTTAAGAGCTGCTTCCAGAGAATGATAACATGGCAGCTGCCAGTTCTTATGACACTCATTTTGACATTCCCAGTCACATCTTGGGTGCTTTTTTTTTTTTTATTTTTCATTTCTGAGAATCATTTTTCTCTCTCCCTTGTACCCATTTCCCTGACATACTTCTCCAGATCTCTTATAAACATGGAAATTGGAACTAACCCTCCCGTGATGGATCAGTCTGCTACATTGGTATCATCTTGCTCTTTGTCCTGAAGTCTTTAAACCACAAATGTAATTTTCTTGTAGCTGTTTCCTACTGCCTGCTAGTACTGTAAGAAATTGTGGGGAATGAGCATATGAATTAGTGATATATATAAATATACATTTTGGTAATTGTTTAAAAGAGGCAAGTGAGTGAGCAATGCCCATAAGTCTCTTGGTGCCCTTTCAGCTGTCTGCCTGCCTCAGGCTTTTTTTGGGAGATGGGGATTTTAGCAGGGAGTTGCAGGGCAGCAGCTTCCTGAACTGGATTTTGAAAGCACTTGATGCTTTGTGAAGGGCAGGGGTGCTCAGAGCTGAAACACAGAGGTGGGTCTAACCTGAATGTGAGCCTCTAAAGTTAGTTGAAATGCCCTGTAGCAGCCTGCAAGGGCTGACCATGCTGCTGTTGGAAGGGTGCAGGTCTTCTGTCTGTATCTCAGATCTGTTTCTTGCCGGTGTTTCTTGACCCAGTGCTGAAGTAGCTGGTTTTGAATTCTCTGGTGTATGCCTTTGTAAATAGTGGAGCTGTGTACTCTCAAATTCCCAGGCAGTACATATTTGATCCAAGTCCAGTGTGACTAGGTGATTTCATTTCTATTGGATTAGCCAGGGGATGCAGAGAGGTGTTCGAGATGATCAGCACTGTGGCAGCCTTGATGTGACAGGCACTTTGTAATCTGGCCTAAAAATGAACACAGAGATATCTGGTCTATCAGAAAGTCTTCTGGACAAAAGTTGCACTGGATTTTTGAGAACAAATTGGAACTGGTGGAAAAAACTTGCATAGAGGCCATATTATGTGGTGCAACATGACTTAAAACCAGATTTACAGTTTTATGAACCCACAGTTTTATTTCCTCCTCTTGCCCTTTGTTTCCGTGCCCCTCAGGGTGTAGGGTGTGTTGTGCGTGGTGAACCAGAGAGAGGGATGGTTCAGCCCTTGCTCACTGCCTGCCTTAGTTGTAACAAGATGGAAATGACAGTATTACTTCCCACCACAAATCACTATGGATTGAATCTCAAGGCCCAGTTGTATGATGCTAAATTCCTAGTGTTGGCATATAACTGTGGCTTAGGGACCAATTTTTGAGCTGTTTTTGAGATCAGTGAATCCTTAGGTGTCAGATAAATACTGAAAAGACACAACATTTACCCTGTACAGAGTTTTCAAACAATAGATTGATGCAGCTGTGAAAGAGCTGGGGAGATTTAACTCCATGTTAAAATGACATCTGACAGGCCAGAGGAGGTTATTGTTACTGGTTATTCCTGAGCACCGCTTTGGCAGCATTCCTTATACTGTACGCTGGAATTTGATGCATTTTACTGCTGGACAGTTCCTCTAGACTCACTCAATAACCCTAACATTTAATAACCTGCTGAATTACAGGCAGCTTACTATGGTCAGGGGAAGAATGTCCTGGGGAGATGGGATAACTGGATTTTGAGAATTCAATTACATACCACATTTCACAGAGTTTATAGCACTTCAGGCCAAGGCAGGAACAGTGCAACCGGTTAACCTGACCTCTGCAATACTGCCTGTTTCACCTGCGTGCTCTATGTGTGGTCTTTGCTCCAGGTCTCATTCCTGTGATGGGAAAACAAGTTTATACTGGATGTTTTGTTGCAAACAGTGGCTTTGAAACATGATTTTTCTTCCCTGTCTTAGTTAGTTATCCATCTGTTTCTTTTTTTGGCTGATCAGATGAGTAAATCGAAACTGGATCTGCACGCATGAGAGGTGCACGCACGTGACCAGCTTCTGTCAGCAAGTTCATGATTTTGAACCGTGGTTGAAGAGTTTTGGGTTTGCAGCAAGATGAAAATCGTGCTGTCAGGCACCTGCTGGCTGCAGAGCAGGTTTTAAATGCAGTAGAACTAGTACAGTGTGTGAGTGCTGCCAGCTGTGAGGAGTGGAGGAGGTTCCTTGGCCAGTGGTGGCTCTGTTATTGGCCTGGTTATAGAAGCTGTGAGTGAGCATGGGGCAAGCTGCAGTTATGGATTTCACCCTAGCAACGGCTTTGCAGTCATATTCGGTGTTGAATTCCTGTCTTTAAGGTAGTGAACCTTTTCATTTAATTGATTTTACTAAAAAAAAACCAAAAAACTAAAGATGTAACCATGGAATTTTTTTTTTTAATTGCGGAAGAGTGACAACCAGTCAAGAAATGTTTTCTGTTGTATTTACAGGTGACAAGAAGTACATTATGGGATCAACTGTTTCCACCGTTGATGCCACCGTCTTTGGACATCTGGCACAGGCAATGTGGACGCTACCAGGGACTCGACCAGAGAGACTAATCAAAGGTAAGAAAGCTTAAGATATCTCTGATGAAAAGCTCTTGGTGGCATATTCCATGTTTACACTTGCAGCACCTTGGAAGGACATTTTGAAGACTGCAGTGCTTCAGCTGCATCACAGACTGTTCTTGCCTTTGATGTAGCATTTGTATCTTGTAATGTTGTTTTCTCTTAAAATTCACATTTATTTTCTCTTTAGTGTTCTAGACAGTAATTGTTTCTATTCGTGTACTTGATCTTTTCCTTGTTTAAAATGGCAAAGGCTTAAAGCCTCTGAGGAATGAATGCTGGATAACGTATGAGAAGACAGAAGCAGAACCATGAGCCAAACTCTGCTGAACTGAGTAGTTTCCTTGATAGTAGAACTGCAAGTGCTATGGTCCCACTGAAATTACAACCTTTGCTGTTGCTGAAGATGCTGGACAAGGAAAAAATCCAACCTGACTTTGGAGTCACTGTGTTTTGGCATGAGCTGGAAACCAGCATACTCCTCCCTACCACAGAGGGTTTTTTTTTTTCTTGTGGAGTGGTGTAGATGTTAAAGTATCTTTACATCCCTTTTCAGAATAAAACCACTCAGTGTGAAAAATGGGAAGAGCTAAGGAGGAAAAGGATATGAAATAGGTGTAAAAGGAAAGAATCTGACCTGTAAATCTACTCTGTACAGGAGAACTCTGCTAAATCGACAGTTAGGAGGCATAGACTTACTCTTTTCCTCAAATAATGAGCACTTGAGATGGGGAAATAAGTATTGGCTATGCAGTTCTTCCCCTTGGTGTCTGGAGAGTCACGGATGAAATTCTGAAGGGCTCACGGCTTTCTAGAAGGAATACTGTGTTTGTTGAATTAGTTTGTCTCTAATGAAAATAAATAGAAAGTAACAGATGGAAATACCCAAGCAGGTATACCCAAGGTTGATTCTTTGTACCCATCCACCTACTCATGCTACTGTGAGTACCGGTTTCACATACAGCTCCCTTTTAACATGCTATTATTTGTTTCTTCTTTGAATTTTTTAATGATTTATTCTGTAAGCATACATGTATGTATAAACATAAGGTGTAAGGTACTAAGGCTGGGAACACTAGGAGTGAACCAGTGACCATATGAAAACTTAAAAATGTGAATTTATGTTGCAGACAGCGCTGCCATCTGGTGGTGGAAAATCTAAATTCACTGCATTTAATAAGTGTATCGTGCATATATAGGATCAAATTCTGTCGTTAGGAACTAGGTGTCTGCAATTAAGCAAAAAATTTTCCTATGAAAACTTTACAATATTAGTGTCTTGTCTTGATTGATTTCTTTAGATGTTGAATTTGGGAGATTTATTTTTCTATTTGCATGAACATACATATGTATTTATTCCTGCGTAACCTTTCTTGTTGTGTATGGGTTAATAATATGGGTTTTAAGCTAGATGAAAGTTACAAACAGAGCTGCTAAGAGGATTGATGGGATCTTGGAATTTTGAAAACTCTTTGGAAAGACCCTGCACAATTTCTTTCCAAACAATGCTTATGTGGTTAGCAGGTGAGTTTGAGCATTATCGACTGGATCTGTTTATTGAAATCTGTTGCACTGTGTTGCAGGTGAACTGATTAACCTTGCTATGTATTGTGAAAGAATAAGGAGGAAATTTTGGCCAGAATGGCACCACGATGATGATAACACTCTGTATGAATCCGAGGAAAGCAGCGAAGCAAGCAAGACTTACTCCCCTTTGCAGGACTTCAGTTTTTATTCAAGGACAGAAACATTTGATGAGGAAGGGAATAGTATTTCCCAAACGCCTGATACCGATTACACTGGACACTCCCTCTTTGATTCAGATGTGGACATGGATGAGTACAGAGATCAGGAACAATGCAAGTGATGTGTACAAGTGTCTCCCATTGTGCAGATAAGCTGTTTCTTGGGGTCAGTCTGATTTGTTTTCTCCTTCAGGTCAGGAAGAGGTTTATACCACTTTGGAAGAGACCATTGTACTTGACTCAGCTGTCACGTGCTACTTGGACTATTTCAACTGTATTTCATTTTGTCTTACTGTGCAGGTGGAACCAAGGTAAACACTTATTTAAAACACACATGGGCAAACTAGAGCTCTAGAGGACAACAGGACCTTTCCATCTACATTTTTGTTCGTGCTCAAAAACAGATCCCCCATCCAAGTGGGACAGACTTCTGGGAAGTGGAGCATTTGTCACTACTGGTTTGTGTTAATATCTTATCTTTACAGGAGTGGGTTGAGGACATAAATGGAAGAGGTATGACTGGCACAGCTTTCTTCCATGGAAGAAAATGATTGATGTTTTAATGAAAAGGCCCTGGAGGTGCTGGTTGACTGCACCTCAGTATGAGCCAGTGGTGTGCCCTGGTGGATCAGATGTAACAGCATCCTGGCTTGTATCAGCAATGGTGTGACCAACAGGACCAGGGCAGTGATCGTTCCCCTGTACTCAGCACTGGTGAGGGTGCACCTCGAGTCTTGTGTTCAGTTCTGGGCCTCTCACTACAAGAAGGACACTGAAGTACTGGAGCGTGTCCAGAGAAAGGCAATGAAGCTGGTGAAGGAGCTGGAACACAAGTCTTGTGAGGAATGGCTGAGGGAGCTGGGGTGTTTAGCCTGGAGAAAAGGAGGCTCAGGAAGAGACCTTATTTCTCCCTAGAACTACCTGAAAGTAGGCTGTGGTGAAGCAGAGATTGGTCTCTTCTCTCAAGTAGCAAGCAATGGGATAAGAGGAAATGGTCTCAAGTTGCACCACAGGAAGTTTAGGTTGGATATTGGGAAAAACTTCATCACTGAAAGGGCTGTCAGGCATTGGAACAGACTACTGAGGAAAGTAAATGAGTCACCATCACTGGAGGTATTTAAAAGCCACGTAGATGTGGCACTTGAGGGCATTGTTTGGTGGTGGACTCGGGAGTGCTGGGTTAACAGTTGGACTCGATGATCTCAAAGGTCTTTTCCAACCTAAAAAATTCTATGATTTGGCAAAGTTTCAAGGGAATTTTATTTGATAGCTGCTCATACTTTGGGTGCATGTATTACAGTGTCTGCAGGTAAGAACCGCTCCCAGTTCTTTTTCAGACAGTCAAGGAAAGCTGGAGAAAAACACAGTCCTACAGAAAGGAGCTGATCAATGTTTCTTGTTCTTTGCAGAAGTTTGCAATCACTACTACAGAATGTTTTTATTCAGGAGGGAAATGTCAGTGTTAATGTATAATCTCCCAAACACTCTTCTGGAATGTGTGTTGGCCAAATTTCTTCTGTGTTTGTGAATTATTATTATGTTTTCACTCCCTGCCCCTGACTGCTCTCTGCTATTGCTAGGCAAGGCTAAAGAACTGGGATTTGTTGCTGAAAGCCTGGTGTGTCTCAGGAGTGGGTGCTTTGTGCTCTTTACCAACAGACATAGCAAACCCATGAAGGCTGCAAAGCAATTTGGAATACTAGTAGGTGTGGGATATCATATAGTTGTAAGACTTTGGCCCAGGCAATGAAATACTTTAGAGCTGTCTGGGAAGGTGCTTCAGTGGGTACTGAGCTCTGTGCTGACTTACAGGGCCCAATCCCTGAAGTTGATGCATGGGAGGCAGTTGAGATAGGACAGTTCTGTCAGCACCGCCATCGGTGGGAATATTCAGGAACTGAAAGCATGGCTGGAATTGGTTTTAAGTGACCTTCACTAGCACATCTGTGAATCTGGAACTTGGAATGATTGCACAGGTTCTGATATGCTTCATGTTCTTGTCTCCCTAAATGCAGGTTAGAGATGAGAAAAATCCATTGGACTTACTCATGACTTTGAAGTTAAGCGTGTACATCAATGTTGCTTGGCCATGACTAGTTGGTTTTAAGTAGAGATAGAGCATATAGAACATTAAGACAGCTCTCATATTTGTAAACATGCATATAAAATCAGGTATCTGACTGCAGACTTTGTTGGTGGCTTGTTTAAAAATATTTTAATTACAACTTTCTCAGTGAGTTACAGTTAGATGAATCAGGATCCCTCAGCAAAATTTTTATAATGTGTTGGTTGTGTTATATGTTTTGGGAGCAGACAGGGTAGATAACTACTTTAGAATGTTAATTGTTAGTAGTCCTAATAGTCTGGAACTTGAAATAACTTCAACTTTCAATGAATAGCTCACTGTCTTGGATCCTGGAATGCCTCCTGCAGAGGAAAGTGCTTGCTCTGGGGAAACACAGAGGTGGCCATTGCTCTAATGCTCTGAAATCAGGGGTACACGTGTCTGCAGTGAGCTTCCAGGTCTGTTCATGTGTGGGAGCCACTGCTGCAAGAGCTGACGAGTTTGGTGTGAATTTGCACCCGTTTCTTCAATTCCCCAGGCAAATCCTTGGAGCAGTGTTCCGGTCAATGTGGGCAAGTATCATTTGCAAAGTGAACCAAAACCAAGAAGGAAGAAGGTATCATCCAGTTACTTGGGACCTTTCTCAGGAAACTAAACACGGGAATAGGGCACATGAAGATAAGTCTTGGGCTTGAAAGTAGTGATGTCCTGAAATGCCTCTGTAACTCCATGGCCAAATCAGGACAGATTTTATTTGCAAAAATCAAGGTATTGATATTCTGAATAAAAGGCATATACATCAAAAAGCTCCTCTTTGAAAACATTAATGTGGTGGAAATTCTGATGGAGGTGTTCTCATTCATTTACCCATGCATGTTTGAAGGCTGTGCTTGGTTTTTTTCAGCATTTTGAGGTGTGCAGCTGATGAGTCCCAGTTATTGAAAGACCAGCCTGAATTCGGCGGACCAGCCTCGGTTCAGTATCACCTTTATAATTTTGGTGGGCTGACAGATCTGTCCATGGCAGTGGCCCTTGAAACGCAGATTAACCAGAAGTCAGCAATGTCATTTTACCCTCCCGTGTGCATGTGACCAAATCTGGATTTTGTGTGGCCGCAGGCAGAGGCGGGTGCAGAGACAGGAGACGCCAACGCGATGCACAGCCGGCGTCATGCCACGGCCTGGTTTGTCTGCCAGCACTCGGAGCTGCTGCAAGGGCAGGTAGAGCTGATGCCGTGGCAGAGATGGAGGTGTTTGACAGGGCTGTGGTTATGTTCTCACCTGGCATTCTTTGCTTTTGTTACACATGACTGGTGTGCCTCAGCAGAGGCTGAACCTCATCCTGATCCTGACCAGCCAGGTAATGGGCATGCCCTCAAGAGGGGCTGAGGAAGGATCAGAAGGGGTTGCAGAAGGGTAAGCGGCTTTCTGCTGCCAGCTGAGTTTTTCAGGATTAATCAGTAAGGTGAATGTATTTTGCAGCTCATCACATGCCTTCCCCTTTCTGAGGGACTGCTCAGCTTACTTTAGAGGAGAGGTTAGTTGGGAGAAGTTAGTTGGCTTTTTCCTCATTACAGCTATTCAATAAAGTTTACCTTTTTGTCAAATTAGATGTGAAATTAGGAAACGGCATCTTTTTAAGAATTTATAGGTGTATTTTGTCGAGGTTGGGTAGGAAATCCTTGGGTTTATTTGTCCCTTCTAGAAACAAATATATTGACTGTTAGACCTCTTTAAAAGGTTTTGATCCACGCTTTTTCTTTTGAAAGCTGGTCTTGGTTAAGTATTGTGGGAAAACAAACAACCAAGAAGTTTAAAAAGCCAAACTTTTTTAACAGCTATGAAAAAGTGTTCATTCGTTTTGGTTTGCATGGGGAAAAAAAGAGGTGTGTTTTCTTAAAAAGGGAACATTTTTTTTTGACTTTCCAAATTTTGCTAAAGGAGCAACATTTTCTTGGTCCTGCAGTGTCTTTTTAGTTTGTGGGTTTTTTTCCATTCCATCATATCTATTTTTAATGTTAGTGCTGAGGGGCTGTACAGAACTAAAATTAGTTAGACACTATCTTTATTTCCTTTTTTTTCCCTTCTTTTTCTTTTTTTCCTCTCTCACTGATCAAAATTGCAAGCAAGTTCATTGTAGGGATGCTGGAAGTCCTGGCTGTGCTGCTGATGGGGGTGAGGGTCATCAGGTGTCTCTGCAGCCATCAAACCTGGGGCAGCTGTGGATTGCCAGCCTCCTGGTGGGTGAGCTGGGATGGCTGCTTTTGTCTGGAGCTAGAGGGTGAAGGATGCCACGATGTTATGTCTGAGGTGATATGCACCTCATGAGGTTTTTCCATGAGTGGGGCTCCCACTGCCACAGCCAAACGCTCACTGTGGGGTGATGTTAGGAAACGTCCAGGGACCCTTGACAAAAGAGTCAGATGCCCATGAGGTCTCTGAGAGCATCACAGCTGCCAGAACCAAACCTGGTCCCAGCCACAGCCCCAGGCCAGTTTGGGATAGATGGTGGTACATGGTACTGGCAGAAGGAAAGCTGTTGTGGGGCTCCTCTACACTGTCCAGCCCCTCTCAAAATAGGGCAGGGGGAGCCCTTGGATGGTTGTTGGAGGGGGCAGAGTGGGCTGTGGGGAAAGTGTCAAGTGGTGGGTTGCTGCAGGAAGATTTGGGCTGCACCTGCGGCCTGGATAATGCCACTGTTCCAGTGGCCAGGGAGGACCCCTGCTCTGCTTATGAGCTGGAGCATGACCCCATATCCTGATGAGGAGACGGTGCCATTTCTCCTGGTTACTTTGCCTTAAATACCACTGACGGCTGGGTACTGCCTTTGTTTCCATAGTGCTGCTTTAAGAGAATGAGTAATTGGTCTGCTCCTCATTTGGCAAATGGGAGTTTAAAGCAAGCCCTATGTTCCCACTGGAGTTAGTTTCGAAGCAGTCTGGTGGTTTTTTTTTTTTTTTACATGAATTGCAGTGTTTGACTGTGTGACACTCTGTCGTGTCAGAAGGGATTTGTTTACCCCTGTTGGACTCATTGGCTCTGTCAGCAAAGCTCACTGTTACCGAGTGGGGGAAACAGGAGCTGGGATATATAGGTCCTACAGAAATTCTGCAAATGTGGTGTTTGATTTAAAAACCAAACTGAACCTGATGTTTCAGATCTGGAGGACTGTTTCCATCCAATTATAGCACTGCAAGTAACACATTTTGATCTTTAAAACCTTGGCAATGTCCCTCCAGATCTATATTCTCTTTGAAAAAATACTGCCTGAAATATTTCTGCAGCAACAGTTCAGGCACAAATTTGCTTTTGTCAGTGATGTCTGCTCAAGTAATCATGACAGTTTCATACTATTTTCCTTGAAAGGGCTGTATCTGTCAGATGCTAAGCCTTACAAAATATTGCCTGCTGGAAAAGTGTGTTATGTGCAGATTTATGCAGGGCAACTCACCAAGTGAAATTTCTGTGGCAGGGGATGAATTCAAGTGGGTCTTGTCCTTAGATGTTTGAATAAAAATATGAATCTGTTTTCTGACAAGTTTGGCCTAACCCCCCCCCCCCCCCCCCAAATACTGCAAAAGTGTGACTTGGACATGTGATAGGAATAAAGCAAATTATGCTCTCTAAATGCAGAATTAAGTTGATGGCCCAG